TTCGTTCCAATCTTCTACTTGATTCTGATCACAAATGTTGCACGATCTATTTGCAAGGGGTATTCCTTTCTGTCTGCCAGTCTCAATTTTCAAGTTATGGTCACTGAGGCGGAATTCAGTTAAATTTTCGCGCAAAATTGTTTTTTAGTAATTCTCGGTATTTGACGAGTTCTGTACACGATTAAAATATTTCATCATTTGTTGCCGATAAAAGTCTCCAAAGGGTATAACGTCCAAGTTCACCGTATAAGTCAATTGTTGTGGTGTTATCTTATTTCGCTGACTCGATAATGCGCCAAATTAAAACCCAGTGAATATGTAAAATTTAGCATAGAAAACATTATCTAAATGACGAAACCGTGAATTTAAAACCCACTGAATATGCCTGAAATGGTAAATCAGTGAAATTTTACAGTAACTACAAATAACCTCGCTCTCAGGAGCTGAGGAATTACAAATCTAAACATCTAAACAATGAGTGTTGAAAACAACATTTTTCAAGAAATATAAATATAAGTAATATAAGTGATCTAAACATTTTAAAATATTAATATATTACCCAAGATCCATACGACAACGTATTGTCATTTGAAAACCTCGTCACGATAAGGGTGTTACGGCGATATTTGCCAAGTTTGTATTTGAAATGTTTGTAAGATTAGAATGTTAACAATGAACACCACGAACTAGTAGTTACAACTAACGAACTAGTAGTTACAACTAACGAACTAGTAGTTACAACTAAAGAACTAGTAGTTACAACTAAAGAACTAGTAGTTACAACTAACGAACTAGTAGTTACAACTAACGAACTAGTAGTTACAACTAACGAACTAGTAGTTACAACTAAAGAACTAGTAGTTACAACTAACGAACTAGTTGTTACAACTAAAGAACTAGTAGTTACAACTAAAGAACTAGTAGTTACAACTAACGAACTAGTAGTTACAACTAACGAACTAGTAGTTACAACTAACGAACTAGTAGTTACAACTAACGAACTAGTAGTTACAACTAAGAACTAGTAGTTACAACTAAAGAACTAGTAGTTACAACTAAGAACTAGTAGTTACAACTAACGAACTAGTAGTTACAACTAACGAACTAGTAGTTACAACTAACGAACTAGTAGTTACAACTAACGAACTAGTAGTTACAACTAACGAACTAGTAGTTACAACTAACGAACTAGTAGTTACAACTAAGAACTAGTAGTTACAACTAAAGA